CGGCATTCTTTCGCCAACTTCTCTCATCATGTGTACGCATAAAAAAACATTTTGATCCGAACCGCACCGGAAAAACGGAATATCGCGCGCTTACCGTCAGTGCGGGGGCCAACGTGATGTCTTGTCCAGCACTGTCAGATCCAGTTCGATCCCTCAAATATCTCCCTTGATCGCCGATCTCGCCGATATACTCGATAAATATTCGATTCTCACGATTTTTGTCTCCGAGATATCTTTGGTTGTTCGTAGAGCCTTCACGTTCACTTTGACTCCTCACTGCGTTCGCACCGTACGAAAGTTCGGAAAAGATCTAGAGGGATCGACACTGAGGATCGCGGCGGACTAGTAGGAACGCGCGGAGCGGAAAGGGTGGATCTACGTAATCGTGCCGGAACGTAGATACCTTCGCGGGGATTATCAAAGATTACCGGCGATTTGCGCTCGCTCGCCGGGATATCCCGAGAGTTTGTCAGGCGCGCGTGGACCACTCGGTGGCGGACTCGGCCGCGGTGCGACGGACGCACATTTGGCAGAGCGGACGATTGGCTGTATCGGAGCCTGCGCCGGTACGTCCTCCGCGGGGGGGAAAAAGCTAACGCACCCGAGAGGGAGACGGAGAGACATAGTGGCGAGGGTGGAGAACGTAGAGGGAGAGGAGAACGCGGGGGTGATCGCCGCTCTCGCCCCCGGACACCACGGGCTCTCCGACACGGAGCGGCTCCTTAGAGGCGGGATCATCCACCAAGCTGTATCTTCTTTCTCTCTCCCTCTCTCTCTCTCTCTCTCTCTGTCTTTCAGTCTCCCTCCGTCTGTCCGTCTCTCCGTCTTTCTCCACCCTCATCCTGCTACTGTTCTCCTTCGGTCTCACCCCGCTTCTCGCGTTAGAGGCACGTAGATAGGTGGGAAGCGCGGCGGAAGGCTTCCCGCGGAGCGTCATACGAGACGGGCGCGATATCCCCCACGGTGCTTTTATTATTATTGATGCCGAGGATACCGGCGTAAGCGCGATAAGCGCCGGTGGAGACGAGCGAGAATGGATTGACGCCGATCGTGTCAGAGTTGATCGTGTCGAGCGGGCTGGCAGGTAGCCGCGCGAGAACCGAGAACGCCTCTCCGCGCGGAAGGCGCTGAAAGCTAATAATAAAGTACACGTTTCTAAACACGTACACCGCGATCAGGTGCCGTCAGCGATTTTCCGTGAGCGACACGGATGTGCTTTCGGAATAACAGCGGCGAGTTACTCTGAGAAAAGGGATGGTGGAAAGGGGACAGATTGACGGCGATGGAAATAAATCAGCTTCTATAATCGAACTTTAGGCCATAAATTAGGAACTAATGATACCATTGAAAGAATTTCAACTCTATGTAAAGTTATTTCTCTTCTGAGTAATATGCAAATTCTCTTTTTAAATTATATTAGTAATAAATATTATAATTTTCCGCTCTCCTTCATGAACTCTTTCATGGTTATAATTATTATACGATTTTCAAACATAATGTACAAAGAGAGATAAATATACGATATTTTCAAAACAATTTCAAAATACAATATTCCTGATATGCGAAAGAGATTAAACTTTCGTTATACAATCTTGTAAAGTTAAATAAGCAAGTAAATGGCAAAAAGAGACGAGGAGCGAAGGGAAGAAAGATTATTTATTACACACCCCCCATGAAATTAAAAAAGAATCGAAGGGTGTATGTGTGCCTAGAGAAACTCGTTGTCGCTGTCGTTCGATGACACGGTTGAAATGTGTCCAATTTGTTTGATTAATATATCAGCGATATCGCGTGATCTCCGCGCGAGATCGGTTCGCCGTGCGAATAGCGAGCTGTATCTACTTGTACTGAAAATTATCTGATCCACGCGGTAGAGTAACAACGGGGGCGCGACAGGCCGGACACGTGCGTGGTATACGATTTTCAAAGGGCAGCCCGGGCATAGGGGGATAGCATATATTCATAGGTATCGCGATAATAATGTATCGTTATCGCCACCTTCGTTAACCAACTCGCGCACCATCGGCAGCAGAGGCGGTGGCAAAATCAATGCTCTGATTTAATAGAATTCCGTTTCGTTATCCTGCGTTGCATAAAACTCACATCGCAGATAGATGCACACGTATGCAAATGTCAAAAATTTCCATGCCGCGAAAAACCGATATATCATCCATTTAACGCGAAAGAAACAATGAATAAGCTAAAGAAAGATGTTTAATTAAAGAGAGAGGGAGAGGAAAGAAAAAGAACATGTGCTATTATTTTAGTGACATTTTTAATTCCCTAACTTTAAATTGTATTGAAAATACTAGCTAAAGCATCCGAAACCAGACATTAAAATATCTTTATCTGTATCTATTGAATTTGCAAATACAAAAAAAATATGATTACAATTTAGAAGCTTCTAAATATATTCCTAATATTTCAAAATTTAATGTAAATTATATAAAATAATTTATACACTCCGTAAAGATTTCCTAAATTTTTGAGTTCAATATTATTTCATGATGAGATGATATAGTTAAATTTGTTCTATATTAGCTATAATATATGCAAGAAATAGAAATACAAAATTCTATTTTAAAAAAACATTAATTATCTTGATAATTCTGAAAAAAGTGATTGTAGATAAAGAAGATTATGTTCCCGAAATTCCTGTTTTTAATGATTGTATAATGATAATACACCATCTGTTACAAAAAAAAAAAAAAAAACAGACGATAAAACTAATATATCCATGAATAAAAATTTTGTTAAGAATGATGGAGTGATAAGATATGATAAATGGAGCAAGATATTGTCAGTGTTTTTATTATCTTTAATCTATTATTGAATAATCCATTATTTATCGTTATTAATTAATGTTTGTGATTATTTTTATCTCTCCATTTAAACTACTATAAAAACATTTATACCAATTTTTATTAAAAAAGTGGAGATTTTACATATGCAATTTATTTCGGATTAAATCTGAATTTATATTAAAGCTTAGTTTTGCGAGATTGTTTAAATGGTTCTATTGTAAGTTATCTTAACATTTGCTTCAGGCACTCCTAACGATGGTCATTGCCGTTGTTCCGCTTCCTATGACTGCCATGAGTAATGTCGTATCTCTTCGTTCATGCGTAAAGTTTCCGATCGTCGGACGAGAAGCGGTGTCAATCGTGCGAGAAACATCAATGCATTGTACGATTGATCGTGATCCGCGCGATTCGAAGTGCATTGTCATGTAAAAATCCCGTCGGTCTGATAGTTTTATTCTTCGCAAACAACAACATATCCGAACCACACACGAAATGTTGTATTTTCAAGTAGAGAAAGAAGAAAAATCTTCGTATTAACTTTATAACTACACATTTCCTAATATTGAGACTTTTTTAAATAATAATAAATATTATTTATATAATAATATACGTCGTTTTATTA